TATATTTGAAATATTTCACAATAAAAGAAAATTCAGATAGGATAGAAAATGGCCTACACTAGTCACGACAGATGATTTTTTAAAAAGCAAAGAAAAGTATTGTTCCATTGCCCCACCCTGCTCGCCATCACCATGCACACAAAGTAGACTAAGTAGACTAGTCATTTCTGCATCCTAATCCTCTCCTCTCATCCAGGACATTTTCTCTATTTCTTCCTAGCATTTAATCTCTTGCTTCAGTTGGTCACCTGTAAGATAGGAAACATCTGATCAGCTCACTGACAAGAGAGTCATAAGAGGCGATACCAGGGAAGCACTATAGGGGCAACTGTAGGAGACCTTAAATCTTGTAACTACTTCATACTATTGTTATGTCTAAAATCTAGGCTCACCTGACAAAAATGTTAGTTCTTCCTGTCCCACTCAAATATAAAGTTAGTCACCTACCCTGTGACTTCCTCCTGACATTCTTAACCTGCCTAGTCCTTTGTATTTGAAGCTGTTTCCATTACTGGCACAGGTGGCATTCTTTCTGACTGCCAGGAGGATTTGTGCTTGACCCACTGAGAGTGACAAGGGCTCTTAGAGGATACCCACTCAATGCCAGAGAAAGGCAGGGCTAAGCAAGCTGCTCTCAATGGACTTAGCATCTCTTTTGTTCTCACACATTTCTGGTGTGTCTATTTTGACTTCTATAGCACTTTGCTTATGCTTTATTCTGCACTGATTGTCTACCCTTAGTATATGTTGGCTGGTATTGTGAGTTACCATGTGTTCTCTTACCAATTCAATTAGGCCATAAACTCCTTGAGGACATGATGTTTTCAGTGACTTAGTATCCCTACTATCTACTGAGAGGAAGGAAGAAAAGGAGAAAGGTCAGACAGGAAGGAAGAAAGGAAGGAAGGGGAGACAGGAAGGAATGAAGTAAGAAGGATAATAGCAGCAAATATTTATAGAATGACTATATGCCAGGTAGTGTGTACTTTCTTATTTAATCCTTCCAACTACCCAGTGAGGTAGATCCTATTATTAATTTTTCCTAGCTTACGAATCAAAAAACATGCTTAGGAGGGTTAGGTAATATGCCCGATGTAACAAGTCACAGTGAATAAATTGGAGAGCCAGCATGTAAACCAGGCTTGTTGAACTCTAGGGACTATGCTCCTGACTGTTGCTGCTATACTGTTGCTTAGAGGTGAGACATTTGAGCACAGATGAGCTGACAATAGGAAGCCAGGATTCAACACAAAGAAAGAAAAAAAGGAGAGAAAACTAGAAAGCAGGGAAGAGGGAGGGAGGGAGGGAGAGACCCACTACCACATTTCCTTCCTGTAAGCATCACACCTAACCTGTGACAGACAGCACAGTTTCTGTTTCATTCCTAATCATCTCCAGAAAGGATCTACTTGCTTTTTTGGGTAATGTGTTCCAGGTTCCAGTCTCCATGTGCTAAAGATATCCACAGACAGTTCTTATGCTCTCCTGCCTGTGAGAGAAGACACATACAGATGATTCTCATTTTTAATAGTAGTTATGTTCTAAAAAGTTGCTTTGAACACTGAATTAGTGAATTCTAAACTTCTGGGACAATACAGAGAGTTAGATTTCTGCAAGCCTCTGGCCGTATTTTCATTAGCTGGTGATCACATAACCTTATGCATGTTTCAAGACACCTTGTTTAATATATATTTTGATTCATTAACATTAAACTCTTAACTGACATCATTATATTGATATCCAGATGACATGTATTTCCTTCATAATGTACGTCAGACCCTTGTTGCACTTAGGAACAGTAAGATAGCACTTCAGCACTATGCTGGGGGGCGGGGCACTTTACATAGACAATACCAACAAAAAGTACAAAAATGCAAAAAACATGGCACTAAATAGACCATAGAAAGAACATTTGTTTAACATTATGAGAGCTGAAGCAAGATGGCATAAGTGTCACTTTTCCCCATATGAACTGGGAAAGTGTGTATTGAGCAACTCAAATTTTCTGCCACTGTATGAATATTCACTAATGATCCTGAAAATACTGTCGAAGGCCCTGCATTTCATTTCACTGATAATTTACAACACATATCTGACTTGGATTTGATGAAAATATTGCTTTTGTAAATGCCTCTATTAAATGGAGTTAAAAATAGATTGTAGAAAGCAGGTGAATTAGAAAATGTGGAATCTGTGATATAATGAGAATTGACTGTGTGGCAAGAAGTTCAGTCAAGTCTTAATTTTGATGTATCAGGAACCATTACCCTGTGAGAAAACAGGAAAAATGGATCTGCAGTATGTTGTAACAATCTTCACTGTTTATAGTTGAATAGGATGTCACAAGCACATGTTGGTCCTGCAGGGAATCTCAAAATTCATTCATTCATTCCCTAGTTTTAGGTGAGTTTTTGTCTTGATCATTAGATTGTCAGCATCACAGATGCTGCCTGACAAGTCTTCTTGCTTTACAAGTCCCATGGCTTTTGCATAACCCTCTAGAGGCCAACTCTTACTTAAGCATTGTGTTCTTCTACTTGGAAGATTCTATTTACATTTGCTATTGTTGAATGTTATCCTTAGGGTGAACCAGTTACTTATATTGTCTTTATCTCTGCCTTTGGGTTGTAATATACTCTCATGTACATACTTCTGTCTAAAGTTGTGATTCCCAACTTGGGGTTCCTGGAATTAGTGGTGCTTTAAGAGGTCATTGAGTTTTTAAACAATCTTTCAAAAAATACATGTCCCTTGGTTGAAATCCCACAGGTCAGAATCAATTGTCAAGCTTTTGTTTCCATTTTTGCAAATCTGCATGGAATTATACAATAATTCTATGTGATAACACTACGTATCACTTGCCAATCAGCTTACTCCACAGACTTGTCTTTAATTAACAAAGGCCAGATTGCTCAAATAATTTAAATTGCTTGCTAAGTTTTCAAAACACTTCAGAGAAATATGGGGAAGCTAATAAAAGATTTCTGGGTGGCAAAAGGACAAAAACACCACTAGTTTAAATGGTTCTGAAGACATGGTACTTTTTGTACAGATTGTAAAATAGTTTTATTATTTCAAATTTAGGATAATTATTTTTACACTGCTGTTAGTCCTGTTGAGCAAGGCAGTCCTATTTTATCTCAATGAGAAAATGAAGTCACAAAAAACCAACTATTTTCAACAAGAAACTGACACATATCTACAGTCTCTAAGCTTTGTCCATTCTTTCTACACAGCTCTGTAGATTCTCTTTAGGGTCTCTAAAATAGGAATGTGTCTGTGAATTCATCTTTCCTTAGTGAAACATTTTTTCTTCTTATGAGAATTTGCCAGGCTCCAACTGATATGAAATAAATAATGGCATATGCTGTGTCAAGAGATCTGCCAGTTCACAGGCAAGTAATTTCTTTTCGTTGAAATTCTTTTTCATGCACGTCTCCAATTTTGGTCACACATGTTGGTGCTATACTTCCAGATCGATGGTGAGGTTATAGTCTTACTTGGTCTGGTGCTTTGACAGAAGACACAGAGGAGGAAAGGAAAGAACAGTACAGAATGGGGGCCAGTGAATACTTTTAAGGCCTTGAGGACCACATTATCATCTGTCTTGGGAACAAGCAACTGTTTATACAAATGGAAAACTATGCTCATTGAGATACTTGTGCCTGCCCTGCCCCCCCACCCCTCAAAGACGCTTGAGGTCAGCTTCTCTCAATATACTGGCCATTGGTCATGGTTCTTATCTGTACCTATACCTAGAATGCTTGAAAGCTTTTTCTATTCTCAGCCTGCTAAGGTTCCTTCTTCAGATCTATCGATAGATCGTAAATGTCTTTCAAAGACCATGTGCTAAATGTCTGGCTTGTGGTGCTATAATAGGGAGGTGGTAGAATCCTCAGAAGGTGGGTCCTAGTAGAAGGAAGTAAGTCACTGGGGACATGCCCTTGAAGGATATATTGGGACTCCAGACCACTCATGTCTGCTTTCTTCCAACTATGAGGTGAAGAGGACTGTTTGACTACACATTCTTACCATGATGTCCTATGCTGCCACAAGCAACAAGGCCAACAACCATGGACTTAGATCTCTATATCCATGAGCCAAAATAAATCTTTCCTATTGTTGATTATTTCAGGTATTCTGTCATAGTGATAGAAAGAGGACTAGCACATCTTCACACAGTGCCTGAAACTACTTCCCTTTAAGAAGCCCTTCAGAACACTTAGAAAAAGATCATAATCTTACCCTTCTTGGCCTAAATACAAAATTCTAGCCTTAATTACTGTCTAATTAAATCCCCACAATTTAAATGCATATACTTAAATTATTTATTTATTTATTTATTGTGGTGCTGAGGATCAAACCTAGTGCCTCACACATGCTAGGGAAATGCTCTACCACTGAGCCACAACCACAGCCCCTGGTATTTTAAATTATATATTTGCTAATAGCTTGGTGTTTCCATCAGTAGTATGTAATACCATAGGCATGATTTTCCCAAGCTTACTGCTTATGTATCTTATAATACAGTTCCAACTGAAAAATGGACTTAGAAAAAAATATCTTGATTTTATTAATAAAATAGTACTTTTAAACCTTCTTCAGTTGAAAGCCCCAGTTTAAAAGTAATTTAATAAAATATCCCAGAGGTGACAGAGTTGGTTAGCAACATTTACCAAATTTCCATGATTGAATCTTTCCTCCTGTACCTGGAAGTAACCTTCAAGCTGTTGGTTGTACCCTTAGATGACAGAATTCTGTGGAAAGATTATTAAGGTCTATTTTTCAATGTCTTTTATTGATCCCACTATAACCACTTCCATTTCAATTTAAGAACTAAAGTCTCTGACATTCATCTATTCACTTCTAGTTATAATGCTTCTTTTTCTTATATTCAAGATATAACACTTTCTGAGGACATCAAAGACCCTCCATTTCATTCGATTGGTCAGTTGCAACATTCACACAACTTGGGATGAAAACTATTGCTTTTGTAAATGTCTGCATGCTTTTGTTTAATGTAGTCATGGCAAAAATGTTATAGATGAGATAAATGACACACAGTGTGGAAAGGAGGAAAGGAAAGAACAGTACAGAATGGGGGCCAGTGAATACAATGGAAGAGGAGGGGAAACAGTAAGACAGAAATGGGGACACTGTTATCTGCAAAGAAAATAAGGGATAGAGGAATGGGTAAGAAAGCTGAGAATGTAGGAAGAAGAATAGAAAAATAAAAATGATCCTCATTCTCTGATTGTCACATCATTGTCACAATGTTGCTGAGCACTAAAATCGCACCAGGTGCTGGTTTGGACTAACTTTACATCAGGCTGGCAAAAAAGAACACTATTTTCTCAGCCCATGAAATGTTATTTATAGACAAGGGCAAGGTCACAGAGGGAAGATGAGACAGAAGTAAAGAATTCAAAGCCTTTTTTGACTCTTAACTTATACAAGCTTAGAAAGAGTAGATTAAAAGCAAGGCTTTGAAGGAAGAAACTTAAAAGAATAAGCACATATTTCTCATGTATTTGTATTTCTATAGAAAGATTTTCACAAGAAACCCATACTTGTAATGCATATTTCAGTGCTTTTTAATTTTGATTTGGCAAATAATTCTGTACCTGGTAAGTAATTCAAGCCTTTTGGGAAAGTCAAAAGTCACCACAAAAATGTACTCAAGAGATTCCTATAGCAAATGTGTGATAAAAAGGAAGTATTAACTTACTAACATTCACTTTAGGACATAAAAGTAGAAAAAGGGAGATATTCTTTTATAAAAAGACTTTAAGAATGAATGTTTCATTTAGGGGCTGATCACTAGTTTGTTCAGTATAGAAATTTTTGGAATGTTTCACAGACATATATCATGATTTCACTTGTGGCTTAGGTTGCAGGTTCTCTTTCTGAACATCTTTTGCTTGACAGGATTCCAGCATAGCTCAAGTTCCTGGAGAGTTTAACAATCCGCTTCTGCCAGTGTGTCCATCTATAAGGGTTTAGTGCTTGGATGTCAGAGTAAGTGTTGATGAGACTCGGAAGATCTGGGGGAGCATGTTACTAAGTTGATAAAACATTTCTTCAGAAATACTCTGTAAAAGGTAAAAAAAAAAAAAAGTTTGTGCTTGTTAAAGCATGGATAATTTAAATCTTTAGAAGTATTTTAAAATATGATCTCTTTCTAGATACGGACTGAAAACAGAAAAATTATCTTTCCTGACTGATTTAACTATATGGACTGGGCTGGTTTTCTGACTGTTCTCTGAGAACCTGTGTTGTTTCTATCAAATAATAAGTCTGATCACCAGAAACCCCCTATGTAACACCAATATAATCCATAATAAAATGCCACTAATTTTGGTAAGTTCTATTCAGAATCATTCATTCTCTGTTCATGCCCTTTTTTACAAACATCGTCTGTATAACATAAATGTGGAAAAAAAAAACAGAGGACAGATAAGTCAAGTTTGGTTTTAGGGGTAAATAAAAGATCTCTTGAGTGGTAGAGGTTGACATCTTTGACAATAAGTGCCTTTATGGCATCCAAACTCTTCTCCCCTTAAAAAATTGGAAACTGTTAGCATTTTATTATATTTAGGAGTTTAAGGCCACATATCATATGTGTGAGGAATATTATAAAAGAGATTAAACTGGAGTGAAATCTATTCAGATAACATACCTGTGGCACTAGAAATTGTACAGTCCTAGAAATTCCTCCATCCCATGAAGCCATTTCCATCATAAAACCTAAAATAGAACAACAGACTTTGCTGTGTTATGAGTTTTGGTCTTCCAGTCTCCCAGTCACTTATTGAGATAAACTGAATTTCACTGTGTGGTTCCTGTCTTGACTTTGTAGGTAGACACTTGCCTATGGGAAATGCTAAGCCTAAAAGATAAACTTCTGCTATCCCTAATTCTCCATGCCAGAGAGGTTTAACACAGTTTTGTTAACACACTTGGACTTATTTTTTCTCAAGTCCTAGTTGGCCTCCATACAAGGAAGCTAAAACAGACTATTAAAGGTTAAACATATGGCTCTATTTTTTTTTTTTTAAGGCAGTAGAGAACAAGTTAGAATCGAAGCAAAATGTAAATAACATCCAAATGTCCTGTATTCCAGGAGGACTGGAGATTTTTTTTGTGACTGGAAAAAGATAAATTACAAGTCTCTTAAGAAATATTTGATTAACTACATAACAAAGTCATCAAAAAATAGAGGTAACTTTCATATCCTTTCTTCTGGGTTGCTCTGCTTTCAACATTTGTGAGGACATATGGTTGGTTGTTAAATGTGGGGTTCTGCTCACCTTTGACACACTTAAACACAAGTTCTGCTCTCCTTAAGCACCAGGGTATAGTCATTTCCTAAAAACAGAAACAAAACAAATCATTTGCTTTTAACAGAAGTTTGTAAAATAAAAAATACAGTCAGATCCTTATTTGTTTATAATGTTGAATGTCCATGTTGTGAATAAATTCAGACAATTATTTGCTAATCCCAACTGGATTTCTTTTATTTTTTAGGAATAGAGCTTCTAGTCGTTAGACAATACTTGAGAAAGGCAAATTAATTTAACAAGCCTAGCAAACATGATTTATAAAATGCGTAGATCCTTAACATATTCATGATAATTTTAAAGATAACTATGATGTGGAAATTCCACAACTACTGTCAATGTCTGCATGAATAGTTATTACTGATAAAATGAATAATTATTATTAAATTGTATATTTACATAAGCAATAAAATTAAAACATTTTTATTATATAACATTATATTATTGCAAAAATAATGGAATAAACAAAGAGTGTGTCCCGGCTACCTAATGAACCAAATCCATTCATTTTCTATTTTGCTTTCTAATTGCTGTCCAAATGTACATCTGAATCCCAGGTCTACAACCAATACATTTTACAATTTTTCACCATGTACTCAGTGAGCATGCCATTTTAAATTCCATTTTTTTTTACCAAAATTATTTTCTCATGTTGCAAGTCTTCATAACTACAAAACAAGTGTATTATTTAATTATGGTGATTCTAAAACTTTTTGGGTTTCAGGATCTTTAACACTCTGAAAAATACTAACTCCAATATGCCTTTGTTTATGTGGATTATTCATTGCATTAGAAATTAAAACTGATAAATATAAAAATATTTATTTAGTTTAAAAATAACAATGATAAGTCCATTTAATGTTAGCATAAATAACATTTTTAATGGAAAACCACTATATTTTCCAAAACAAAAAAGATTTAGTGAAAAAAGTAGTAACGTATTCTTTAGACACAATGACCAACTATTTCATGATCCAAGTCTCATAATTCCTATGCCTCAAGGCTTTATGTATCAGTTTTTATGTTTGGTTGTTTCTGCTGACTCTCACTCATAGTGTCTTATTTTCCTTAAGAGCCTACTTATGTTAAACATTTTATTCAAGAATTATACGTAGAAATAAATACTAAAATATAACCAAGTATTAGCATTACTTTAAAACATTACTCTAAAATATAATGTTTTGAAATACCATAGTAATAATCAGAATCAAGGAATTACTATTATTCATTTAGTTTTAATGACATATTCATTATATATATGAAACATATACATATATATATACACACACACATATAAAGCATTACTGACGGTAACTTGTCTTATAATTTACTATTAGTTTTTTGACACCTTTGAATTATTTCAATAATTACTTGATTAGGACTGGGGTTGTAGCCCAGTGTTAGAGCGCTCGCCTCAAACGTGGAAGGCACTGGGTTTGATACTCAGCACCACATAAAAATAAAGGTATCATGTCTATCTACAATTAAAATTTTTTTAAAATTACTTGATTAAGGCTAAGTCAAAGTACCACTACTCATATGAAGACAGTTAATGTGAATTTTAAACACAAAGCTTTGAAAACCAACATCTAAAATTGATATTATCCAAATGCAGAAACTCAGGACAATATAGTGATGAAAGATTGCAGCACAAATTAGAAAAGGGATGGTAGATTGAGAAGAAAATAACCAAGTCCTCATTTGTCCAAAGATCATCCAATTTTATCCATTAATAACATGCTTTCTTGTTTTCTATATTTATGTGATTAATAGCATGGTCTATAACAAATATCTATGAGATAAATAAAGAACTTTACACTCTTGAAATGATATGAATTAACTACAAAGTTTTATAAGCACTATTTGGAGAACAAGACAAAATACAATAATGGCAAGACACTAGAGTAGCTTTGAAGTGACAGATATAAGATCAATTTAATTTTCAGATGACATATGCCTTCATATGTGCTTTACTTTACTTTAATGCTGATTAGCAGTGTTAGGAATCTGAAGAAAATGCTATATGGCAGCATGTACATGCATGTGAAAACACATTCATTCACTTGAGTTGTTTTCAAATATTTCATATGCCTACAGAGACTCTACCCCAAGCTTAAGGTAGATGTTTGACTGTTTTTTTATCCTTTTTGTCTCTGATTAAAATCAGCACCTAAAAACAATGGCTTTGGATATCTGGAAAAGGCTAAATGGTAAGCTTTAGAAGACAATAAGATCAAGACAGGGCATGAATTATCGGATGTCATCATAGGATGTGGCCAGCAGTTTTATAAGGAGCTCACTTTTTGAAACAAAGCTTAGTATATATTGCACAGTAGGTACGATATGGAACCTGATGGATCAGCTAATGGCATATGAAGTTTTTGTTCATGCACTCTAGGTAATGGCAAAGTGACTAAATCTTGGTGACATGTCTGAGAGAATGCACTGTGAAAGAAATCTACAGAAGAAGCTGGGTGGGTAATGTGAAACACTTTGGAGTTTGGAACTAGGGCAGAAATTTGGTCCCAACAGTTATACTTTAGATGGCACATGGAAATTGCACATAGAATAAATTTTAAATCTGTGAAACAAATTAAAATCTCAATTCTTTTTTTTTATTTAATAAAGTTTTATTATCTTCTGCACTATGCCCAACTTGCTTATTTTTTTTTTTACTGGTTGTTCAAAACATTACAAAAAAGCTCTTGACATATAAAATCTCAATTCTAACCGAGACAATACCTTCTATCTATCTGAGGTTAATGGCCATATGTTGATTCTCAACTTGAATCCTTGGTTTAGGTAAGGCTGAACTGTGGAGTTAGTATGTATTTTAAGGTCTTCATTGTACATCTTGGAAGTCAGATATAAGAATTACTTTCTGAGTTTATTCTAATGGGAAAGATTCCAAGTTTTTCTTTCCTTCTCAGGTATATGCTTACGAGGTACCTGAAACACTTGTATTAATCAGCTTCATAGCCATTATCAAAAGGTGAAAGTCTGGCTTTATTTTTTATTTTCCACATTAAAAAAAAACACGAGTGTAGGTATACCACTTTAGAATAAACAATTTTGCTATTTCTATCAAAGAAAAACACATAGATAGCCTGAGAGTTAATAATTCCATAATTCCACCTTAAATGCCATTCCCAAGAGAAGTGTCAAAACATATGTACTAGATAGAATGTTTATAACAGTATCAGTCACAACAACCAAAATCTACAAATTACCCAAATGTTCATAAATATTAGAAGGGCTAATAATTTTGGTCTAGTCACACACTGTAATAATATATAACATCAAAAAAGAACAATCCATAATCATACATAATAATCTGGATATCTCATAAACATAATATTGAATGAAAGAAGTCAGATATAAGATAACCACAAAACAATTAACTCATCCATAATTTTTGGGGTGAAAATAGTGGTTGTCCTGTAGAGGGAGTGTTTTAAGTAACTGTAAGGGAACATGAGGGTGGTTTCTGGGTTGTGGTAATGTTCTGGGTATATGCTTGCTCAGTTTGTGAAAATTTGAGGTGAGCACTTATGTATTATAAGTATTCCAATAAAAACAAACAAAATCTTCATTGACAAAAAATTAACAAAACTAAAATCCTTAAACCCCAAATTATTTCACAATTTATTAGTATACCCAAAAAAGTCAGGAACTCAGGATTTCTGACTTGTAGACTCATTCCACATCTATTAGGTTACATTGATCTTAATACGACAGTATTTTCTGATTACAAATACTTATAGAGATGAAACTGGTTTGTTCTTCTTCTTTTTAAACTGCAAGTAATTTTTATTGCCACTTTATATATCATAGGACATGGACTATTTCAGACCTTATCATTACCTTGCACACACTAATATATAGTAACTGGGTGTCTAGCAGCTAATTTTGGGAAATAGCACCTGAAAATGCTTTGGGATCCTTGTACAAAAGCTAAAGTACACATTACTCCTATATCTTGTGAAGTGTTGTCTGAGTTTATAGGATAAACTTCTTGACCTTGAATGGATATTTAAATACAACAAATGAGAAGATCATGGCTCAATATACTTTGTGAATTAAATTGGACACTTTGGAAACAAACTTAATGTTCTGCAGCTGGCTGTCCCAATTTAAAACATGTAACTTTTGTGACATTGTGGGAGAGGGCATGCTAGCAGTATCAAATGTCTGGAAGTAAATCTGAACTTAGTGACTTTTGGAAACACTGTTTTTGAGGTTGTTTCCCACCTACATACAACCATTTTTATAAACTGGTTAACCAGGAGTCCAGCTGCAGGAATATTTGGTTGTTTCCTTGTGGCAGAAATTCATCATAAAGTTTGTTATTCCCCAAAGACCCTTTTATAGATGGGCTTGTTAGTGATGACAATTTAACAATAGCTAAAAAATCATGATGGAAGTAAAACTTTATAAAGCTACAGTGAAAACAGAAAAACATGTTTGTCCATCTCTCCTGATGCCATATTAGGTATGAGTGAGGCTACGGAAGTGGAATGAGAAGTGAGGAAGTCTACTGCAGCCTCCACAGGATGGTGCCAGTATCCTTTTCACCAAAAAGAAAAAAAAGTATATTGTGAAGATCTACCAGACTAGACTATAAATGGGAAATAATTCAAAACATCCTGTCCTAGATGGAACTGGTTATCTTTAAATTATATTAAATTACAGCAGTTAATATAGAATTTAAAATGAAGTAAATTCATGAATGTAATATAATGAGTCTAAGTGGGACCTTAAACTAAAATGTAAAAAATTACATCTTTTATACTATCTTCTAAAATATAGCATTTCCACATTATTTACTTACTAGTAACATTCAGCAATCAAGATCAAATTTCCTTCTTGAAATTCACAGTCTGCACTTAGTAGTCATCAATTTTGCTTTTAAAAAATCTCTTCTTAAAATAAGCAAGCACAGAGTTGCTGATATGAGCCTTTATCACCAGGTTGACAGCTGGCTTTCCTAGGACTCATAGCATCCTTTGGTCTTGAGGTTCCTTTCTTCCTCCAGACAATCTAAAGTTAAATTTTGGTCTTCACATTATTTTTAACTTAGCCCTCTAACTATTTTTTTTTTTTTAAATGTGAGTAAAGGAAGAAGGCAGAAGAGAAACAGAATGAGAATTTTTAAAACAGAAAGAGATTTTTAAAATTAAAAATGTCTCCCAGTGCAGTGGTGCACACCTATAATCTGAGCTTGAGAGACTGAGGCAGGGGGACTACAAGTTCATCCTGGAGGAAATGTTAAACTGAGGCTGACTTCTTCCTGTCATCTAGCATCTCTTTCCATTACTTTTTAATGTCTTCTCAGAAAGTACAAACTCAATGTAATTCTGGCATAAGCCAAACATTAATATCTATTGCTAATTAAGACAAAAATGGAGGAGAAAGAGGAAATGAAGTAGGGGAAGAAAAGGAGAATAGGAAAATGTTATAATTTTCTGAACATAAATGGTGAAGTACTATTTACTGTTTTATATGGCAGTCAATTCTATTAACCTGATAGAAAATGTAAAGGTCTATTAGTTAAAAAAAAAAAAAAAAAAAAGGGGGAGGGGGCTTTTAAAATGTAGATTATTAAATAATATGAATATGTATCATATTCATTGAAAAGATTTTTCTATCTGCTTACCTCTGACATATCGTGAACCAGCAACAGAGGAATGCTTATTGTTGTGATGTCATGGGTGCAGCAAACCTTGAGTATATTTCTAAGTCCCATAATGGCAGGATCACGAGCAGTGATATTTCCTGATTTCACATTGTCATCCACACAAAGATGGAAAGCAACATGAATTTCTGAGAGATTAGAATGTCGTGTTATGTAAAATTCCCCTGTGAACAACAGATATAATCATGATTTTCAAATACATAAATCACATTCATCAATGGGCATTATAAATAATTGCAATGAGCAGTCAATATGTTGAGTTAGTTTGGATCAGGAATCTATGTGGGGCTCATGAAACTCCTTAATTCTTTTCTTCTTAGCAATGAAATTCTTTTATTTACATATATTATCATATATTATTTTTAAGAGACTATAGCTTATGGTCTATGACTATAGGATTTTGTCTACCTCATTTAATATTCTGTTTCTAGCACATAGATGGTCCTCAGTAAGTACTTGTTGAGTGAATCAATGAATGTTTCAGACTACATGCTGGAGCAGTAACATCTCTGCTCTCTACAATCATTTCTTTTCCTATGTATCCACAATAGCAAAACAAAACAACAACAACAACAACAGAAGAAAACCTCATCAGCTTTTATTTTCTATGCATTCTGTCATTATAAAAAAATAAAATATAAAACATAAAAATGAGTTTTTACAAATGTATGTACCTGGAAGTCCTGATATGTCCTTCACATTAACCCTTGACCTCACAAATTTCACTTGTGCTTGTACTAAAGTAATTATCCAAGGGTTTTACTTTTAAAGACATAGTATATTTATATTTAAAAGTACTTAATATACTTTGGCATTATGTTCAATATTACTAGTTACTAGCATATATAAGCTGTACTCATAGATGTCTTTCATAGTCCTCAGGCAAAGGTCTTTTTCTTTTTCTTTTAACTTGAACAAGATATTAGAACAAGAAAAAAGAAATTAAAGAAGGGAATTTTAGAGACACCAAAATAAAATGGACAAAGAGAAAGTAAAAAGGAAATTGGTGAGGAATAAAGTAGTTATGATTTCCCAGAAAGGCACTGAAAGACACGGTCTGCTTATCAGAAATCTGGTGGACTATATGAGACAATATTGTTCTGGGCCCAATGAAGTGTATAACCTCCTTAACTCTTACTATGAATTCAGATGATGGAAGTCACAGCATTAAATATGGGCTGTGGTCCAGCAGTGAGGTAGGATGACTTAGTGGACAAGTCAGGTGCTCCTAATCCCCAATCTGGCACTGCTTTATTCGACCTTAAATGACTTCCCTCTTGGTCTCATTTTACCCATTAATAAAATGGGGGCCAGTCCTAAAGCTGGCAATACTAACCAAATGAATATGATATAGGGGAAAAAACACTAGATTGGATGTTAATGAGATTTGTTTTTAAGGACTTTTTGGGTGAGTGATCTTGGGAAAATCAATTCAATTTATTGATTATCTTAAATCCTGTGTATGAAATATGAAAAGTAATGCCTTGCTGCTTTCCTTACAAGGTTGTTGTGAGAATTAATGATTTAAAATATAAAGACTTAGATCTTGATAAAGTAAGTAAGTTACTACTGACTTACAAATATATAAATACAACTGCTTTCCCTCACAATTTAAAAATCTTAAATGACTTGTGATTTAGCTCTTTTTTTTTTTTTTTTGCATCTGAAAATATCTTGGTTGTGTAGGCATCCTTTACCTCAACGGAAACTCCAGTGCTCCAGTGCTATTAGAACATCTAACTCAATAATTTAGTAGGATATTTTATATATATATATATATATATATATAT